GGCAGGCCGCCTGCCTCAAGCCTGGTTTGTGGCCTTGGTGACCCTGCCGGGGTCCCCAGCGTTTAGATGGAGCTGCTGGACTGATTCCTGGTGCCCCGAGAATCTGAGTGGCTGCTTTTAGGGCATCCGTTGGAGTTGGGGTCCGCTTTTCTGCCTTCTCTGTCCTCAGTGCAACTCTTTCAATACCAGGCGCCTGACCTCATTTCCCCACCAGCCTCCCACTCCCCGGCCACGTCCCACCTGGGACCCTGTTTTCAGCTACGCTGACACCTGCTTTCTCCTTCCCCACCATACCCTCCTACACTTCCAGCAACACCAGTCACTTCTGCATTTGTCTTTCAACATCCTGGAGACTCCAGTCTATTGTCCTCCCTGCTGTCCGCCCACCCATCGACCTGGTCCATCGCCTCAGTCATTTTCCTGCAAGAATCCTCCAGGCCCTGTCTGCTGTCTCTCCATTCCTCCCACTTGATGAACCCCGCAGTTGGTCCGCTGACCCCCCGGATACTGGAGAAATGTTGACCTGCCACCTTTCGTTGATGGGAGCCTTTCGTGTGTTGTCCAGGCTCAGCTGAAGCCTCAGCCCTGCACAGAAATCCTTCCACGTCTCAGTTCTGTCTCCTTTCTGCTCAATGGCTCTTTCAGACATTGGTGTCTCTCCTGAAAACTCACACCCCTCCCCTTCCCCTTCTCACTCAGAAGCTGAACTTCTCTCTTCAGAGAGAAAATAGATGCCATCCTATGGAATCATTCTCAGCTTTCCACCGTCGGACCTACGACCTTGTCTACTTTTTTCTCGCTGCTTTCCTCTCTCCCTCCTGTTTTAATGCAGGGGGCCCAGCCTCTGATTCTGTCCAAGACTGACTGCTCCTCCATGACTTCCCTGAAGCCTGTTCTCTGTCACGGGGCCACATGTATACACACCCTCACCATAGTCCAGGCCTTTGCTCCTGCTCTCCCCTCTGCCTAGAAGATTCTTCCCCAGTCTCCCCAGCCCCCCCTCCCCTTCCTCTGCCTAATGCTCACTTACCCTTCAGAACTCAATTTAGTGGGTGAAGTCTCTCTTCCATGATGAAGTTAAGATAGTTTCAGAAAGAGGCCTAACTGGACTGTCGTCTGCCAGGCACTGTTCTAGACTTGGAGTATGCAGATGAATAATTTAGTGACTGCAGTATTAGAAGATAATGTTAGTAGCTATTCAAGAACCATATCAGAGGAAAGAATTAGGATTCATTACCCAGCATTGTGGCAAAATATTTGCTGTCTTGTCTATCCCAGACACATGGAACAGAATTACAATGCAAGCATGACTCCAATTCTCCTCAAGATGTTTACATTTGGTTGAGAAGACACATCACACACCCAGAGAGTTACAAATCAGATTATTTTCAATACAGTTGGAGCCAAGTGTGGAAGAGCAGGCACAGGCTGGACATGATTATGTGCTAAGCCATTGGCACTGACAGAAACATCTTTGAGGCTGCAAAGGAGGTGATCATGTCAGCGGTGGTGGTTCTGCCCATTTCATAAAGGAAGCGCCTCATCTGTGGGAACTGCTGGGCAGGCCTCCTGCTAGGGTCACTTCCTCACCCACCCTGGACACCCAGGGAGGCATTTGAGGCCCCAAGAAGGCGCAGGAGGTAGTGGTTTTGGGAGCTGATGGGTTTGCAGCTCTGCGCCGGTGGCTTATTTCCTATAAATGATTATGTCAGAAATATCTAAGCAATGCTCTTCAGCCCTTCAACGCCCACTCAAAAAAGATTAAAGTGCATTCTTCATCAGCTGTTTTAATATCACCTAAGAATTATACAATCTTTTGGAAAATCAAATTGGCTTCTCAGCCCGTGTGCGCGCGCGCCCACGCAGGCAGGCAGTGAAATGGTGCTTGTGCCCGGGGTCTGTTTAATATTTAGCAGCGTGTGCCTTTTGCTCGCTGGTGTCATGTAATGCACAATGTGAAATGAGAGGGAGGCTGGAGGGAGGGAAGGCAGCTGGCCAGTCAGTTGCTGTGCCCACCTGATCTTTAAATGGAGAGCCGCCTCTGCCGCCTGTGACTCCCACCTTTCTTTAAAGAAGGCGTCTGCAGAGGACAGACCCTCTAGTGCACACATGCAAAGTGGGTTCTTGTAACGTGGCCAGAGGTCACCGCTATGCCAGCTCACGTGTAGACTCCCTCTCCTTCCCAGCCATGGTTCCCTCTCCTCCCCAGCTCTCTCCCTGAGCTCCAACCAACTGGATACCCAAATGGGCCCTCAGGTTTTTCATCTCTAGGGGCTTTGCTCATGCCTACCCCACCCTGCTCCCTTCCTTAAAATTAATCCACGTTCACTGATCCTTCAAAGCCCATCTTAAAAGTCACCTCTTTCATGAAGGCTTTTCCGGAACTCCCTTTCTCCCCTCAAACTTCAGGTGCTTTTTCTCGCCCCTCTTGGCCCAGTAGGACACACCCAACCAAGATGGTACCGTGCACCTCCCTACGTCAGCTCTTCTAACTTTCATGCCCCTCCTTCACAGAGGAGGCATTAGGAAATAACTGAGCCTCGGGGCCTCCCACTGCTGAGTGGCAGAGCAGTTTCAAAACTGGCTGCGTCCAGTCTGGCTGCCTCCAAAGCCCACCCTGTACCCTAGAGCCCCGCCTCCACCAGGCATTCCCACAAGGTGTTTTATCTGTATCCACCGATGGCATCATCATAGGTTTTGCAGGCGTGGCCTCTCGGGTCAAGTTTAAATCTTGGCTGCACCTCTTGCTAGCTGAGAACCTTGGGTAACTGATTTAGCATCTCTGGACCTCACTCTCCATGTCTGTAGAATGGATTGCGGTGAGCGCGAAAGGAGAAAGTGCGCGTGAGGGCCTTAGCACAGCGCCCGGCACGTGGTAAGTGCTTGGTCAGGGTTAATGCTTATTGTCCGAGCGCTTTCATCTTATAGTGCACGTCTCCTTCAGTAGGTTGTGAGCCTGTGTCCGAGTCCCCTACTTTGCCCACACAGCGCCTGCTTCATGGCAGGTGCTCAGCAAATGAGAATTAAATTAATGATGATGGAGATGCCGACTCCATGGCTGGGCTTTCCACTGAGAGATCCAGCAAGCTGCCAATTGGTACCTCTTACCCCAAGGATATGTGGTTTGAAATCTAAATGACCTCCCCAGGGTGGGGCTGAAGGCAGGAGCGTATATGCGTTTCACCTTTGCAATCTCTGGCACAGTGGAACCTTTCCTTGGCAACGCCAAGTTCATAACTGCTCCAGGAACAATACAGTTGATGTGGCTGGAGCCAGTGGCCCCAGACGCTCAATGGCCCCAGGTACACAGGCTCGGTCAGTTGTCCTTTTAATTATTTCTCACTCTCCTTTGCCTTCCTGCTATGGGCAGCCCCTCGGCCTTCATTCCCGTTCAGCTTCTGGGTCCGAGCAAAGAGAGGCTGATGTCGCGTTGCTAGAGCTGTGTCTGAAATCAGAGCGCTGTGGCGGCTGCTCGGATGCTCGGGTCATTGGTTTTGTCTTCTCAGCTGTGTTTGGATAGGTACAGGCCTTCGCTCAACAACCCACAGGTAAGCAGGAGAACTGCCGCGGGGCTAGGGGTGCACCTTTGGGGTCAGGCATGCCTGGGTTAAGTTCTGGCTCTGTTGGTTTGCAGGGCAAAGTGCCTAACCTCTGCCCATCTCCATTCCCTCATCAGTAAACTTGACTTGATTGTTCGTGACCCCTTAGGAGTATTCCAAGAGGATTCAAGGAGATAATCCGTGGACTGCGCTTGGTCCCATGCTGGTCCTCAGTAGGTTGTGGTTTTGTTTTTATTTCTGTAGCTTGAAGCACGATTGTACTCTGATCATCCATCCATTCATTCCCCAAATATTTATTTACTGCCCATCTCTCCCCGCCTAGTTTCCCTATCTGCAAAATGAGGATAATAGTACTTATCTAGCTGCGGGATGTCCCATCCCCGAAGAGGGGACCTACCAAAGCTTGGGCTGAGCATTCCAGAAACAATGGAGACCCAAACGTAGAATTTCTCCCGCATTGGGCCCTTGGTCTACATTTGGTCTGTATTTACCCACTTGATCTCTCCAGCAGCTCAGCAGACTTCCTTGGGCCAGAATCCGATCTCCCTAGAAAAACACAGAGTTGGTGCTTACTAAGAGTCTGCACCGTTTCATTACCGGTAATGCACCCAGGTCCCTTTTCTTGTATCTCCGAAGTGCCATCACCTGCTCATTTGAAAGACTCGAGTCCCTTCCTCATGGACTAAATCATCATACAATTATTTTTTAAGACTCAAAAGAGAAAAAGGAAGCCAGCGTGTAGAGCTGGAACCTGATTTGGAAACACCCTGCAGTCTTTGGGATGAGCTTGGTCAGGGCCCCCCAGCCCTGCAGCATCCACCAGGATTTTGCTGGAGAGAACAAAATTAGCAAAGACTCCTGGTTCCCTCTCCCAGGGCTCCGCAGCAGGACTCTCATTTAGAAGTTTTCCTGGCAAACCTTGCCACGGAGACTAAGTCGAGCTCTGCACCTGCCCAGTCCTCTCAGCTCAACCGAGCCATTGTTCATAGTCCAAGTCCTGACATAGCAGATTCTGCCTGGTTTATGATGGGCACATAGAGACCACTTCTCCTTAAAGAGAGCTGTCGGCTGATCAGGGGGCTCCACATGACGAGGGGGGGCACTGAGCCCACATTCTCTCTGCTGTCCTATGGGACGTGGACCGACTATGGCACCATCACCATGGCCATAGTAATGGGGAGGGCGTGTCTGCCCGGCACAGCACTTTATAGTGCAAAGCACTTTTCCTGCATTGCTTCCGTTGGTCCCCATGTCTATGCCGTTGGGAGCAAGGGAGTTGTGGGAGCAAGGACATTGTTCAAACTCTCTGGGCCTCAGTTTCTCCATCTATAAAATGATGATGGGACCTCTCAAGTTTTTCTGAGGATTAGAGAATGGAATACCCATGAAGCTTTCAAAGGAAACAGCACCCTGCATGTCCTTCATAAATGCTGGAAATGATTGGTGGGCATTTTTAGTCTCACCTTAAGGAAAGGAAACCCAGGAGCTAAGGTTATGGATAAGATACCTGGGCATCAAGGAAGGAAATCATGGGGGGGGTGGGCAGGTAGCTACTGTGCAAATGGGGCTCGACCTTCCTGAGCTGGATCTCCATCACAGACCACATGTATGCCTTTAGACTTGGGAATGGAAGAAATACTGACTCCTCAAAAGAAAAACACACACACAAAACAAACAAGATGAAGGGTTAGTGTTGCCAAAGAAATAAATAAACAACAACCCCAAACTTGCACTTTTTAAAAGCCTTCTTATCTTTCTATTTAGGTCTAAATACGAGAAAGAATATCATATTTAGAGATAATTAGGTTGGAAAAAGCTCTCTTTGCTCTGGGCTCTCCACTGAGAGCCTTCCAAGGTCTGACTGCACTTGGGGTTTTGCACCCACGTGGACTCACCTCCTTTTGGCCATTTCCTCCCCTAACAGGTGTTCAACTGGCCAACCCCTGGCGACCAGAGGAAGCTGTGATCGTGGCACCTCGGACCCCCTGGTCTCCTCGGGAATGAAGGTCATCGGGGTTCTCGTGGTCTTCACCTCCTGCTGTAAGTACCGAGCAGCTGGGAGAGTCCCAAGGTGCTGTCCTCCGGTCTGTGTGTCTGTGTCCTTGGGGTGGTCCCTCCTGAGGTGGCATCGGGTGAAGGGAAATCAGGTAAGTTCACTTAAAAGAGAATCAGGAGGGGAACAGGCTCCCACCAAAATCCTTCTGCTTCAGTTTCTTCTGCAAAATGGGTTGATCCCAGTGCTGGGATCTCCCAAAACTTCTGGGAAATCAAAAGTTGCAACCATTTTCTAAGAAAGGAGGCATTTGGTTTTGTTTTACCACACAGTCCTTTCAGGAGTCTGTCCTTCGGACACTAGTTGCCTTTGTTTAAAGTCATTTGGATTCCAGAACAGAACCGCAGACATACATCTGGCTAATTTAGGAATCATTATTTCCCGTCAGAAGGGCTTTCTTACGGTGACTTCTGCAGTAATTGGTAATTATTAGTCATCTCTCCCAGGGATCAGACTGTGTAGCTCTGCAACGTGAAAGAACGTATAGGAAACAGCATTAGTTCTGCTGGGAAACTCTTCGCCCCTTGATTAGTTGAGTGGAGATTTGTCTAAATCCATTTTTTTACCTGTTTCTGCTATGGAGCAGTAACTTTTAGGTCCCTAAGTCAAAATGTAAAAATGGGGTTTTCATCTTCTCTTAGTGGTGGAATTTACAGTTTTCAAGATCATGGTGTGGGGGGGACCCATACGCACGCAGGCTCCTGGCACCCTGAATGCCGGGCCCCGCAGTTAGGGAACCCAAAGCCTCGCAGCTCTCGCTGCATTGTCTCTCCTCCCTGATTTTCTCATTGGCAGTGATAGCCCCCGCCCACAGCAGCTTCTGGCAGTTTCAAAGGATGGTCAAGCACATCACAGGGCGGAGTGCCTTCTTCTCATACTATGGATATGGCTGCTACTGTGGGCTCGGGGGCAAAGGGACCCCTGTGGATGACACTGACAGGTGAGTAGAGGAGCTTCAAGGCCTGTCATTTAATTTGCATTGAAATCCATATTTGAAGAGAGGGCTCATATCAGGACTCTTGCATTGCAAGTAACAGAAACCGATTTAGGTGAGTGTGAGAAGAAAAACTGGATGGGGATTGGAGGGAGGTCTCGAGGAATCGAAAATCAGGGCTGACTTTGGGAGCATGTGGCCCATGCAGCTGCACAGGACCAGCATTCCTAAGGACCTGCACCATCTGGAAATTCTTACGTTTCCATTTGGCACCAGGCCTTGCAAATTATGGAGTCGGTCCTGCCCAGAGCTCTAGGAACATTTTCAATGCTCACGGCAAACGTGGTCTCCTCCCAGCTCCCCAGTTTTTAGGATGATAGGCGCAGCCAGACTGACCCACTGCCTCCCAGTCCTAATTCCCTACACCAGGAGAAAGAATCCGAGTGGCCCAGTTTGGAAAAGTCTCCCATCTGGGGGAGGTCATGCGGCACAAACTCCATGGGGGTGAGGGAATGTGACTCCTAGAAAAAGCTCTGCAGGTTGGTGTAATCTGCGAGGACCTGGACAGTGGGAAGCAGGAGGGCGTGCGAGCCACTTCATTGGAAGGAATAGGAAAATAAAGGTTCCTTGCCACTTACACCTAGCCAGGATAAATATGTCTCCATGGTGGGGCCTGAAGTGTCACTCCTAGAGCTTGATTCCTGTGGGTGGGGCTCATGAGACCTGGAACGTTCCAGCTGGAGGGGCGCTGACACTGATGAAATGCCCATCATGCGCCCAGCACTGAGACTGGTGAGCTTCCCGAGGGACATAATTAAACCTCCCAGCTAGTGGCCGCCTCAGGGTTACCATCCGCGTTTTACAGGCAACAACAGTGAGGACCCGTGAAACCCAAGTGGCGAAGCCCAAAGACATGCAGTAGCCAGGTAGCAAAGGCAGGATTTGAACAAGAATTTGCCTGTTTTAAAGTCTGGGCCCTTCGATGCTCTGTGCCTCCCCTTGTCCAAGTTCAAAGGCAGATGAGAAAGTTAACGCTTTTAGCCAAAGATGACGGATGGCAGAGCGCCTGCTTGTGGACCCAGATGGGACGAGGGGAAGACAAGCGTCGGCCCAGGGCACCAGCCAGAGCCTTTTCCTTTCCGTGTCTCAGATCCAGTCCCAGGTTTGTGCGCTCCTGCCCCTTACGCAGGGGCTGAAGAAATGAGCCGAGGCCGTGCCCAGCTTGTTCCTCCCTCGGATGTTCTCCCTTCCTGGCCCCACCTCTGGC